TCTCCCCTTACAACACAAAGCGTCGTCTCCAGCAATATTGTACTGGAGGAGGCACTTTGTTCGTTTGAACTAATTACTTCAGGTATTCTGTTTTGGATCAATGATACAAATTGATCGTCTTTCAAAAGATCATTATTAAATTTCCAATATCCTTTTCCTATGTCAACATTGGAAATATTTATCGACAAAGTAATTAACTTGTGATCTGTTAGGTATCCGTCTACAATCTTTGCGCTTGGCCTCTTTTCACTGTACATTAACCCGCGCCCTGCTGGGGGGGGGGGGGGTGTTTGAACACCCCCCCTTGCGGTTTTTCGCGAATATCTCAAAAACGGCGGCGCGGAGCGCCGCCGTTTTTGGTACACTTTATCATACATCAATTCTACACATGTTGTGAAAATTTCAGACCAAGGTCATTCAAGGTCAGGTCACCAGGTCACTTGAAGTGACCTCACCTCATAAAAAGTTTCAATGTCTGTCATAGCTACACCGAGTGACCGATCGCTTTGAAACTTCCAGCGATTGCTAAGAGCAATAGCATGTACAAAATGTATATCTCAGAATTTTGATATAGATGACCTAAGGTCAGGTCAATTTTGCGACCTCCCCATTATAAGTCAATGGGAGAAAATTGAAATGCGCGTCTTTTGGACGAAAGACATTATAAACACTCCCAAACACCGAATTACAAGTGGTTTAGACACACTGAACATGAAAATGGTGTCCGTGACCCTTGTTTGTGCCCTGAGGTCATCTTAGGTCACGAATGGTATCTAACAGTTTTTCGCAAATAACTTTTGATAGAGGCATGCTAGAGCGATGAAAACGCCTTATATGTGTTCAGCTCGACGATACGGATCGACTGATATGCAACATGACCCTTTCCGGCCAGGTCATGACCTTGACCTGAGGTCAAATTTTCAAGTTGACCTTTCAAGGTCAACTTATAGTTCATTCGATGCGTCTTGACGAGAGGAACACGAAGCTGGTAAAAGTAAGCTCGTACAAGGCTTGGGTCAAAAGTTATTGCAGAAAAACTGTTTCCGAAAAAATCGGCTATTTTTGCAGTTTTTGCCCCCTGCAGGCAAAACCGTTGACGTTAGGTCAAATCTGAGAGAATTACTCAGAAAGGGCGTTAATAGGGCTATCGAATGCACTTTTCCGCGGCGCTGTAGCTCTATTGGTTCCCGAGTTATGCGTTGGCTTCTTGGAAATTTTCGACATTCGACCTGGAAATCGGCGAAATTTTGCCTTCAATGACCTCTGGTGACCTGACCTTTGACCTGACCAAAAAATTGACCGAAGTGATTTCGTCATTATTTTTTACGCTCTTTCGAACGCCGCCCTCCGCGTATCGCTACGTGGCCCAGGAGCAGAGTTACAAGGGGGGGTGTTCAAACACCCCCCCCCCCCCCCAGCAGGGCGTGGAAATCCAGGACCCCCAGCCGGGCGCGGGTTAAAGTTTCGCTCACGAGGAAAAAATCTATGCGTGATCTACTAGTCGGGTTATTTCGGATAAAGGTGTACTCCTCCTTTACTGGATTGATTTCACGCCAAATATCGATTAAGTTCTTTTCAGACATCAGGCTTAGGATGACTTCTTTGTTTCTATTATTATTTGCTACAATCCTTGCTGAACTTCGTCTATCTTTTCCCAAGTCGAAGCAGAAATTAAAGTCACCTCCTACAACAATCGTGCTATCGTCGTAATCATTTAGTTTTGCGCAAAAATCTTCTAGCATGCTTGGGTTATCGTGATTTGGCGCATAAACGTTCCCTATCGTCATCCTAGCACCATGGATGATATAACACTGGATTGGTGTCTCGTGGAAATTAACATTGGGATCCGCGACATTGGGATCAGGCCTGCCATCTAGCGAGAGAATTATCGTAAGTTAGGAGCAAGCCGAGTGAACGCCATCTCTCAGCATTATGACACACGTGGGTGTAGTGTGTTAGTTAGCTTGGAGTGCATGTTCCCACGAGTTGGAGGTAATCTTACTGGACCTGAGACGACAAAAAATGTCTTAAATGCTTGAAAGCCAAAAACGTCAAGCAGCCTTTAGGTAATAACGAAAATAAAATGCGTAAAACGGTGTGTATTGAAAAGCCCAGTCCGATCGGCTTGTACGACCTTTTATATGGTCATTTACTCACAATGTACAGCAGTTTGACAATATTTCATACATATTTGGTGGGCTTATTCCTTTTTCTCCGAATTTCGCTCGATTTTCTTCATCTTAGGGTGAGCCATACAGATTTACCCATCGAAAATTTCACTTTGTTTCAAGGCGCGCTGACATATAGCTATTAGCTATGTCACCTTTTACATTCATATAACAACTTCATCTCCTAACTAATAAATATACATAGTCTGTTTCTGTATGCTCGCATTCTTCTTGTCACGCGCCCGAGACGCGAGAGCACTATGGCACGCGGCCGCCGCACCGTCGTTTTAATTATTTTCCTCGATCATCCACGCTATAACAATGCTGCGCCGTATGTCATTTCCGGTGTTTCAGAGACTAGGTAGAGTAGGGTTTTCAGGATATTTTAGTTTGCGAAGCCCGTGGGGCTGAAGTCGGGGATAAATTGTGCCCAGCATTCTTTAGACCAAGGAGTGTTCAGCAGCCAACACCCAGTGGTGATTCCTGAATTTCAGGAGCGGCGGATGTGCGTTAAGACGACCTCGCATTTCAGGAGCGTAGCAGAGACAGTGGACGAGCATATACAAACTGAACTACACTGTCAGTATTGGAGACAAATTTGCGACATATATGCAAAAGATGGCATACCTACGCCAACCTGTTTGCAAACAAAGTGAAATTTTCGATGGGTAAATCTTTATGGCTCACCCTGTAGTTAATGTTACGGCACGTGCCACGTGCCAACTTAGGGGTGTCGAAATTGTTCCACATAAAGTAACTCCGCAATGGCTGGGCCCATTACAGTAAAACTTCGTCAATAGTTAGGCGCCCAGTGGCCCATGCATTTCCACGTGTCACTATGGGGGTGCTACTGCACGTGCGCACGTGCGGGGTGCCGCTTCCATATCTCAAGAACGGCTGGGCAGATAACACTCAAACTTGGTACACAAATGTCACATCGATGCTCGCACTGCATTGATCAGTGCTTACATTGGTGCAGAGTCATTAGGAAAACGATGAAATGAGATGCGTGGTGTTTATGCCTTTCTGTTCAAGCAGCTGATTGATCCTCAACAGGAGATCCCTGTTTGTGAAGGCGTCGTCTCCCTTTTTCATTCCTTGTTTAAAATAACATAACAATGTACGAAGAAGATCACACATCAAAGTTGTTTATTGTTTAAGGCGGCTATCTTGGGCCAGGGTTGCGGAGTTGTAGTCAGAGCCAGCGGTTCTGTTCCGACTCGGAGTCGGTTGATTTTTAAAAGCTGTAGTCTGAGTATGAGTCGAACCGCGAACGTCACCGAAAAGTCATCGACTACACAGCTACTTACCAGGGCTGCAGAGTCGGAGTCAGAGTCGGAGTCTAAGTGAATTGCCAGTTCTGCCCGGAGAAGTCGGAGTCGATATTTGAACATCGGAGTCGGAGTTGGAGCCAAAGTCACTGAAATTTCATCGGCTACGCAGCACTGGTTGGGTCCTTTTCATAGAGCGTCTTGAATGACATATTGAGCGGCAATGACGTTAGCAATTCCGTTTAAGTTTTTCATTAGACTTGTAGATAGTACTTACGTTCGTTTTGTTCCTTGATCGGACAATTTGTTTGATTTAGGCCAAGTAAAGACTCACGTGAAAAATAGCGAAAACGACACGTGCTGGCGAAGTCTCCAATAACTCCCTGTTTTACGATTTAATGAGGAAATAATATGGAACTGCTTATCTTATTACTGACCCTGCACATAAATCTATTAATTTCTTCGCTTTTACTGACATATAAAGACATAACCTTTTGAAAAATTGCACAACAAGCCTGCTACTTCACCACACTCCCATGTGTCACAATGCTAATCAGCGGCGTTCACTCGGCTTGCTCCTAACTTACGACAATTCTCCCGCTAGATGGCAGGCCTGAGCTCAATGTCGCCAAAAACTGCGAAGACACCAATCCATTATTATCTCATCCATGCTAGCACCATTGAATTCGGCGTTGAGGATAATGTAGCGACCATTATCGTCACTAAAAACATTGCTAAAAACGATGCCAGAGTTTGGTCGTGCTAGTACCTATTCCCACGCCTCTGCTGTTTTTCTCTCCATGAGCGAAATATCCACTGCCTCCCCATTGATTTAACCACATCTGGGCGTCTGATTCTGATGAATGCGTTTCTTGAAGAAGAATAATATCTATTGCTTTCTGTTTAAACCAGGTAAATATTTTACGCCTTTTTGGCATTTTTCGTTGAGCGCAGCCTCGTAGCCCGTTTACGTTGAGTGACGCTATTTTAAGCTTAGGAGACACAAACATTTCCTAAATTTAGCATTCCACGGTCTGCATGCGCATCGTCGCTCCATCTGTGAAATTTATAGATGGAGTGCAATGTAATACTGTTTCGATAATATTTTGAGTTTTGACCCGTAATGCTCCCGCAGAACCCTCCCATCCCCCCTCCCACTGGACGCAGCGTACGCACGCTGTGCCAACGAGCCGGCACCGATCGCCCGCAGCCGCACCGCCGGCCGGCCGCCAGATGGCGTTTTTATTTCGCGCGAAAAAAAAACAAAAAAATCAGCATACGCATTATTTAAACGTAGGCAAGCTAACGTTACATCTCACTTTACGAAAAAGAAACGCAAAATGTAAAGCACATCGCCATAATTTTATGTAACGTTTCCGTAACTTTCATACAATGTAAAGCACTGCGACCCTTGTCAGAACGATCATCGCGATGTAGCCTGCATTCCAAGGAAATTCAAGAGATAACAGTACCCCCAGCAATACACACACCGACACACCCCTCCCCTGCAACCCGCGGTACTGTTACCTGTACAGGTAATTGCCGACGAAACCGTGGTCACCTGCATTAGTCCAGGTATAGACGTCGCGCCAGGCTATACCGGAGACGAGCCGTCGCGACAGATCACCGTCGCCCGTCCGCGGCCGCGCCGCCCGAGCCGGGCTCGGCAGCCGACCGACCGGAGCCGCCGTCAGCTCGGCCAGACCGCCACGCCGCCGGCGCCAGCCGCGCGTCCAGGGGGCCCCCGCGCGCTCCGCCGCCGCCGTCGTCGTTTGCGTCGCGGACGGCACGAACATCAGCAGCAGCAGCGGCACCGGAGCGATCGACATCGGCCCCGCCAGCCGCCGCCGGACGCCGGCCGTCGGGACGGGCGGCCCCGCCGAGGAGTGACGTCACCTGGGCCCAATCTTACCAATGCCGTGAATAGGCAAAATGCCGTGAATGGAGCCCATTCACGGCAACGGCATATTACCAATGCCGTGGATAGCTATTCACGCCATCTCATTCACGGCATGCGGTCGATGTTTATCCACGGCATTTTGGCAGTGCTTTAACATTGGCAGTGGCACAAGCTGCCGCGAGAGCGGCAGAACAAACGCAAATAATCAGCTGTTTGCGCTGTCGGTGGCCGTTCCATTCACGCCACCTTTTAGTGCCGTGAATGGCGGGTGTTGTGAAAGGGATAGGTCGCTGGGAGGATGTTACTATGCAATATTTGACACTATTATTTTTTTAAAGTAAATAATTCTTCATATAATGCCCTTGACATCTTAGAGCGACGATTACACGCATAGTGATTATTTCAAAAACATGTATTTTCCAGGGATAAAATCACACTCAAATCCATAAAAATAAACATGTTTATTCATTACATGGTCTTATTTTTCAAATCCATATGAGATCGTGGAGGCGATTTTAGCATCTGGGCCCAATCATAACAATGCCAAACCTATCTACATATATATGCTATAATATGGGTGTTTCAGTGTTCACCCCGTCCGGACGTCTCACAAACATCCTTCATGATTTCTAAGTAAATATTTAAAACAATTAAATACCGTAAACTTGTCAAACAAGTATCAGCACTCACAATGCATATTTTACCACTTTCTGTCTGGCACAAACAGCTACGGAGCATGCTGTCTTCATGCGTCTCAATCTGACTTCTGAACTGAATGCCTTTTTCTTTATGTTATGGTTTTGAGATGTAGACGGGTTTCTTCAATATTTTGAGTAATTCCTTTTGTTATCGTGCTCGTAAAAAGCAGCAAATAAGGCTATAGCTTGAGCTGGCCGGGTGCATGTACCCAAAGCTTAAACTTTACCAGCTGCATTTCAATTGCATTATTCCAATGTCTTAGAAACAACAGCGTAGCTATCACTAGGTCGTTACTTCAATAATTTTATCTCAAAATTGTTGCAATATCTTAACAGCAAGTAAATAGAAATGATGAGCAGCGAAACGAAGTTGAAATCTAATCCACTCGATTTTCTCAGCGCGAGAATGTCCTCGCGGAACTTTACTAGGCCAGTAATCCGCTTTTCAGGAGAATTCTTTAGGCAGGCTTTAGTTTTTCATAGTTTGCTATCACGTTTTCCACAAATAACTTATCCTTCACACATATGTATGGCTCTAAAACAAATAAACGCCCGACAAAATTTTAAATAGAGAGCTATACTTGTTCACAAGCAATACGCACAATTTCCGATAGCGAAGGTGACAAGAATTGACCAATCACGTTGCGTGTTTTCTGCTGGCGCTGAATTGTACCGTGGGCAAAATGCCGTGAATAGAAATGCCGTGGCACGGCATTGGTGAGATTGGGTAAATGGAGTGCCGTGGATCAGCCGCCGTGGTAGGCATCCACGGCATCTGCATCCACGGCATTGGTAAGATTGGGCCCTGGTTCATGCTGACCATCTTCTGACCTCGAGACTCGCTGTCCAACTTGCAGAAGACCGCACCTCTCCTTGAGTACACGGTGTAGATTTTTTTTTACGCTTTTTTGCTTCGAGCAGAGCGTTGAAAATCTCCTTGTTCATAGCTGATAACGACTCATTGATATAGAGAGGTGCCGCCGGTCGATCTCCATGGTTTTGTACTCTGGCTTGCTTCATCCTTCTCTCGTAAATGTCGTCCTTAACCTTGGTCTTGAAAAACTTTACAATGACTGTGCTGTCACCCTGGAGTCTGTGAGCGGTCTGGATGTCGCTGCCGGTGACATGCACCTCAGGGAGGCGTCGATTGAGGACAGATATCACCTTTCCTTCGATATCTTCATCGCGCTCCCTTTTTCCAAATTCCTCGCTCTTGAGTATCAGGCTGTTCATTCGTCTGTTGGTATCTATGCCTTCTAGCTGCTCCTGTAGAGCCTTAATGGTAGCTTCTTGAGAGCTAACTCTGTCCTTCAGTACGTTTGTTTCGGCATCTTTCAAGAACAGTTCACCTTCCATGATTTCAATACGTCTCTCCATGCTTCTAAACTTTTCCTCCATGAGCTTCGTCACCTTTTCGATGCCTTTATCTATAATTGATTTCACGGCATCTAAGGACTCGCCGTCCAGACGGCATGAGTGCTCACCTTTTTCTGCGCTGTCTTTTTCTCTGCTGGAACGCTTGCTCTTTTTTTGACGTCTTTGTCCGTGTCCGTCATCCAGAGCCTGCATCATCTCTGGGAAAGAACACTGACGTTTCCGGCCACCTCTCCCTATCAGAACGGAGCGATCAGTGTCCTCGGCGTCACCGAACACGGAGTCCAGCTCCGATCCACCAGTGTCCGTGGTCATTTCACGCATCGACACCGAGACGAGCCGAAAATATCACTGTGTCCACCGCGAACGGGTACAGGCGTACACAAACACAAGTGTTCCACAAGGCTATTCCAGCGGCCGGCCGGTAACTGGCGCGGCTAGGCGACCCTACCGGCCCGGTACCTGTCCCTCAGGGCACGGCCGGCGACCCTCGCGCTCGGAGCGTCCGACCTCCACCGCCGCCGGGACGGGAATGATATTGGTTAGATATTGATTTGATTGATTATTGATTGGTTAGATATTGACCCGAGGAATCGATTGCGACCCTTATTTTGGCGATCAGACTAAGCCTTGGGGCAGTTTTGACGCGCCCCGTCCTTGAGGGGACGATTAAGGGATGAGGGATAGGAGCCACAGGTCTGGAACCTTCGACTGAGGTTAGATATTGACCCGAGGAATCGATTGCGACCCTTATTTTGGCGATCAGACGAAGCCTTGGGGCACTTTTGAGGCGCCCCGTCCTTTAAGGGACGATTAAGGGATGAGGGATAGGAGCCACAGGTCTGGAACCTTCGACTGAGGTTAGATATTGACCCGAGGAATCGATTGCGACCATTATTTTGGCGATCAGACGAAGCCTTGGGGCACTTTTGACGCGCCCCGTCTTTAAGGGACGATTAAGGGATGAGGGATAGGAGCCACAGGTCTGGAACCTTCGACTGAGGTTAGATATTGACCCGAGGAATCGATTGCAACCATTATTTTGGCGATCAGACGAAGCCTTGGGGCACTTTTGACGCGCCCCGTCCTTTAAGGGACGATTAAGGGATGAGGGATAGGAGCCACAGGTCTGGAACCTTCAACTGAGGTTAGATATTGAACCGAGGAATCGATTGCGACCATTATTTTGGCGATCAGACGAAGCCTTGGGGCACTTTTGACGCGCCCCGTCCTTTAAGGGACGATTAAGGGATGAGGGATAGGAGCCACATGTCTGGAACCTTCGACTGAGGTTAGATATTGACCCGAGGAATCGATTGCGACCATTATTTTGGCGATCAGACGAAGCCTTGGGGCACTTTTGACGCGCCCCGTCCTTTAAGGGACGATTAAGGGATGAGGGATAGGAGCCACAGGTCTGGAACCTTCGACTGAAGTTAGATATTGACCCGAGGAATCGATTGCGACCCTTATTTTGGCGATCAGACGAAGCCTTGGGGCACTTTTGACGCGCCCCGTCCTTTAAGGGACGATTAAGGGATGAGGGATAGGAGCCACAGGTCTGGAACCTTCGACTGAGGTTAGATATTGACCCGAGGAATCGATTGCGACCATTATTTTGGCGATCAGACGAAGCCTTGGGGCACTTTTGACGCGCCCCGTCCTTTAAGGGACGAATAAGGGATGAGGGATAGGAGCCACAGGTCTGGAACCTTCGACTGAGGTTAGATATTGACCCGAGGAATCGATTGCGACCCTTATTTTGGCGATCAGACGAAGCCTTGGGGCACTTTTGACGCGCCCCGTCCTTTAAGGGACGATTAAGGGATGAAGGAAGGGAGCTAGGGCAAAATAAATGTCATATTCGTGTTCCCCGTCCCCCAATTGACCTGATGGCAGTTTTTGAAGCGATTCTGAATCCGACGCTGTATTCGTTGCTGTTGCTGACGCTAACTTCACGGACATATTTCTGTCGACATATGCCTGCTACCATATTCCAAACTCTGGCTGTACCTGTTGCTCTATATACTCTTGATCTATGGCATTGAGATCCACAGTGTGTATAAATAAAATATCTACAAGCATATCTACAAAATATCTACAGTTCCGTCAATTCCATCCCCAGGATGATCAATCATTCTCCTCCACGCCTCAACCCCCTATTCCGGACTGGACGGGTAACTTCATCCCCTGCGGGAGTTAGGGGGAACTGGGAAGCTGCACCTAGGGGAAGCTCCCCTAGGTGCAGGCCCGAAGTCGGGCGCGGCGACCGTTAGGGGGCAGGGTGACCTGTCCACTGGATGGGCTCAGCCCCTGACGACTCACCAGGGTGGCCGCCCAGACCAATGTCTCCCCTCTAATTCCTATCGTCCTTCCGGCTGTGCAATGGTCTTATTAGACCGAAACAGCCTAGCCCAACATTACACAATAACAGATAAAAATGAAAACCCCAAAAACACATTTGCGAGGGCCACCTCGGTAAGATGCGTATTCAACACATCCGTCCTGTGCCTCGCATACAAGACGGTATACAAGAGGTATAAACACAGTTTAATGAAGAACCATTACGAAGCCACCAAACGTATATTTCGATCTCCATCAGCCCTTGATATCCCATGAACGACACTGAACCGGACATATCTGGTCTAAATCAACCACAGCCGACCGGACCACCGACGGTCCGACACAGTGACGGGCGAGGCCCGATATAGCCGGGACCGGCCGCCCTCACAGCTAGCTCCGACCCTGGTCTAAACTGAAACTGCACCACAACACAGCGACGTG